GACTGAAACACACGGTCAGAGTGTTTATTCTTTTTTTTTTTTTTTTTTTTTAATAATTTCTAGAGGGTGCATGAGCTTGCCAGGTAGAGACAGAGACAGCACCCTCTCCCTCTCCATCCCATCAGGAATCTGGGCATACATGCACACAATCTTTGGTGTTTTTCGAGTCACTGGGGCTGGGATTTGAGCCACTGTCGGTTATGTGGGATTCAGCTCCCAATGCGTGGCACTTAACTGCTGTGTTACGGGGCCAGCCCAAGTCCCTATTCTTAACAACTTAGTCATCTGGTAGGCTTTTAAAATTTTTAAAAAACATTTACTAAATAATAACTTCAGAAAATTGAAAAATCCTGTGTATATAATTTAGTAATTTTAATAAAATGAACATATCCATGTAATTAACATTCAAGCAAAAATAACATTTCCAGTACCTTAGAACCCCTGGTGGCGGGTCATCAGCCACCCAGACTGCATAGGGAACTGGCATCGTAGCCTCTTATAGCATAGAGCAATTTAGGCTATTTTTGAACTTAAAAGGAACCAATATAGCATGTTTTCTTTTGTGCTTAACCTTCTTCCCCAACATTTTATTGGTGAGATTATCTATGATACTATATGTAGCCATAATTGTCATTGCTTTATAGTATTCCACCATATGAGCATATCACAATTTCTTCTATTGTTAATGAACAAGCATTGGAAACCAGCAGTTAGCGTAATGGCTATGTCGCTGGACTCCCATGTAGTTGACCGCGGTTCATGTCCCGGACCCAGTGGTTTAAAACTCACGCCGGGCGCGTGTGCGTGCATGCCCAAGATCCCGAGAGGAGAATGGAGGAGAAGGGATTGCGGCGTGACCATCCCCCCTGGGGGGTGATTTCTCGCTTTCTGTCTCTCTGTCTCTCTCTGTCTGTCTGGTGAGTGCACACGCCCTATAGCAAAAAACAAAACAAAACAAAAAACAAGCATTATTTACTGCTTGAGGCTATTACAAATAATGCTGCCAGAAACATTTTTGTACATACCTACTTATAACACATGCATACACATTTCTACTGGGCATACCCCTAGCAATTGTTGGGTATGTTCAGTTTTGTGTGTTTGTTTTAATAATCTTTATTTATTCCATGAGTAACAAAAAAAGAGAAGCAGAAATACAGCACCCTTGACAGGGCCCCAATGCCACAACCCACCCCCGACTTCCCCAGCCAGGATCATTGGTACATGTGTGCCTGGTGTACTCAAGGCGGTCTCTGGACCTGAACTGGGAAGCCTACCATGGGCGACTGCCTTGTTATATCACACGACCATCTGGCCCTGCGTTCAGCTTTAATAGATACTGCCAACATTTCAGCCCTTGCTGTTAGGTATTGGCAAACGACTTAAGGGGTAAAATGGACTGAATTATGTTCCCTCAAAATTTCTATGTGGAAGCCCTCATCCCCAGCGTGACCTATTTGGAGATAGGGCCTTTAAGGAGGCAATTCAATTAAGTGAGGTCCTGTAAGTGGGACTCTAATCTAGTAGGTCTGGTGTCCTTAAGAAGAGATATTCAGGCTTACTCTCACCCCCTGCGTACACACCAGGGAAGGGCCAAGAGAGGATGTAGTTCTGAGAAGGTGGCCATGAGCAGCCAGGGAGAGCGCCCTCAGCAGACACCACCTGTCAACACCTTCATCTTAGACCTCGACCCTCCAAAACTATGAGAAATAAATTTGTTGTTTAAGTCCCCTGGTCCATAGTATTCACTTACGGCAGTCCACGCCGATGATCACAGGGAAAAATGGTGGAAGTGAGCCACCTTGGGATCCTGCTCTCTCTAGGCATGGTGTCTTAGAACCTCTGAGCCCACAGTTCTGCCTCCCCTGCTCTTTGATCCTGCCAAAAGCACATCGATTTGCAGCCTCCTGATGGTTTTGACGCTTTTAATCCTTGTGCTATTTTCAACGCAGCACAATCCTTGAGGAAAAAAGTGCTTTGAGGGTGATCTGGAAAAAGTGATTCTATCAGGGCCAGCAGGTGGAGTGGGTAAAGTGTATGGCCGAGTGTGATTTGAGTCCTGGTTCTGGCGGCTTGAAAATCACACCAGTCACATGTGCGTGTGTGCCCAAAATCCCCAGAGGAGAACGGAGAAGGGATTGTAGCATGGCCAACCCCTTGGGGGGTGGAGGGTGATTTCTCACTTCCCCTCTCTGTTTCTCTCTGTCTCTGTCTAGTGAGTACACACACCCTATGGCAAAACTCTAAAAAAATCAAGTGACTTTTATCATTATTGGAAATGAAAATCTATGGTAGTTTTTTTTTTTTTTTTTTTTTTTAAGCACTTAGAAATAAAACAAAACTGTAGTAAGACTAACTTAATAATTCTGGCCTTATTAAAAGTATTTTTCACAGTCAAATGCTACTCAAACGTATCTGCTAGTTTTTGAAATAACAACCTGCCACTTTTCTCCGTAAATGTCTTCTTTTAGAACCTATACTTTCTAGACCTTGTGACCTTGAGCACTTTGAATTTCCTAGGAGGTTGGATAGGTAATTCTCTTTCGAATGATCAAGATGGCCTGGAGTTTTTCCTAAGAAAGCCCTGTAAGTGAAGAAGTCCGGTCCTGAAGCCCTTGTTAATGGTAGTGCCAGAGGCACTTAGCAACTTCGTTTCCCTCATGGAGTGTTTCCAAATCTCCAGAACAGAGTTCATCACTGTGCCCTGGGTGCTCCCTCAGCACTGATGCGGCTAATCTTTAGCACTGGCCACAGGCCCAGGCTGTGAGCAGCCGGCAGGTCCCACCTCCTCCCCTGAATTACATACCCCTTCAGGCAAGAGCCACACCCTGCTCTTTTTAGCCTTAAGACCCTCACGTGTGGCAGACACTGAATAATAAATGATGACATCCTCCTGCCTGTAGCCTGCCCACACTCTACCTCTTCCCAAACAGGCCGAGTGTTCACTGCAATGAACACAGGCAAGTGCATCTTCAACCGAGTTGGTATATGGAGTTGCCACACAATGTGAGACAGCCAAACCCCCTATGAAACTGCTGGAACAGGGACCAGCAGTTAGTGTAATGGCTATGTCGCTGGACTCCCATGTAGTCGACCACAGCTTGCGTCCCAGACCCGGTGGCTTAAAACTCACGCTGGGCGTGTGTGTGTGCCCAAGATCCCAAGAAGAGAATGGAGGAGAAGGGATTATGGCGTGGCCATCCCCCCTGGTGGGTGATTTCTCACTTTCTGTCTGTCTCTCTCTGTCTGGCGATCGCACACACCTTATAGCAAGAAAAACTCTCAAAACAAAACAAAACAACAAAAAACCAAAACTTCTGAAACAGCTTACAAAACACAGCATACTTGATTGCGAGTTCAAGCCAGGACAGTAATCTTTAGGCGCCATCCATTTTTGAGAACCACAGAACTAGACCAAAAGAGCAACCTGCACAGCCCCAGATCTAGGAATTCAAACTTGCTTGCCTTTGTAATACCTGCTGAGGCCCTGAAGTAAAGGGACCTGCGCACCTGCCTCTATGAAGCCTCTCTGACTTAGACATCTGTTAGAGCTTTTTATTGCGAAGAAAATGAAGTGAGGTCGAGTTTTTAAGTAAAAAATGGCTGGCCCTGTAAGCCTAAATTCCAAGTCTGTTATACTGAAACAGTCCCACCAGTAAAGTAGATGGCATGGTGGTAAAGGCCCTGGACTCCCACATGACCAATCATGGTTCAAGTCCTGGACTTGGAGGCTTGAAAATCACAGAGGGCACATGTGCATGCAAGCCCCAAATCCAGAGAAGTAAGTGGAGAAGAGACTGCAGCATGACCATTCCCCCTGGGGGGTGATTTCTCACTTTCCTTCTCTGTCTCTGTCTCTCTGACAAGCACACACATCCTATGGCAAAATCCTAAAAACAAAAACAAAAACAACAAAACCCCAAGTAAATAAAAGAATAAAGACAGTGTTCTACCGAATATTAATAGGTATTAACAGTACTAAGTTGAGGGCTGGCCCTGATAGGTGAAAGGAACTGATCCCATATGGTCGACTGACCACAGAATTCCAGCCCCAGAGGCCTAAAAAACATGTCAGGTGTGATGTATGTGTACGTGTGTCCAAAACCCTGACAGGGTGAACTGGAGGAGAAGGGACTGTGGAATGACCATGCCCCATTTGGGGATGTGCACATGCTCGCTCTCTCCCTCTCTGTTTCTCTCTGGCAAGGGCCTATGCTCTCTGACAATTCAAAAAAATAAAGAGATTATTTGGCTCCTTGGAACATCCTTCTTTTGGAGACTTCTAGTACACATTAGCGTGGGAGCATTAAATGCTCTGAAAAAGTCCTGTGGTAGTTTAACTTGGTTATTACACCCAGTTTTTCCCTATTTTGACAATGGAGCTTGATTCTTGTTGAAGAATAATATCTACTAACATCTGGTGGAACATTTTCAGTGTTACATGCTAGGAATATAGTCTCAGACCATTACTGAAAGCATTTCTGACTCTTATTTATTTATTTACATTGCTTTATGATATGTGCACTCATTGGAGATAGACAGAAAGAGAGAGAAAGTGAGAAATTCTCTCCCTCCCCCAGGAAAGATGGTCATACCTCATCCCCTTCTCCTCCTTGCTTTTCTCAGGACTTTGGACAGGTATGCACACGCACCTGGCATGATTTTCAAGCCACTTGGCCCTGGACTAGAACCGTGCACCTAGGTGGCCATGTGGGATCCAGCTGCCTTAACCCCCACACCATCTGCTGGTCCCAGATTCATTTTGTAAACAATCCTAAACACAAATATTTATCTTTCTTCAGAGCAAACCAGTTAGGAACAAATTTTAAAAAGGCTGACAGATTACAAAGAAAATGAACTAACATCCAGGAGGAAATGAAAGGGGTAGAAATGGACAAAACCTCCAGAGAGTTATACTCAATTAATTATCAATGAAGGGTATGATCATGAAAGTTCAAATAGTAGCAACTGAGTCCATAAGAAAAGACAACATTCTTGCTTGCTAAGGTAGGAATTTATTTATTACATCCCACCAGGATGAAAATGACAACGTTTGGGTGTGTGAAGGCAAAACTTAATTGTTGGGAGAATCTAATCCACCTCAAACACCAGATAAGAAAGCTCAGACAATTGGTCCTCTTTCTTCTTACACGCTCAGATCAGCCACCTTGATAACAGCCAAGTTGACCAATTCCGATGGATCCTTCACATTTCCAAGTTTCATCAGAATTGTGAGCTGTTAGCCTGAAGGTGTCACGAGCAGCGGAACCCAAGCATTCTTTTTATGTCAGGTCTTTTTAACGAATACATTTTCAGACAACAGAACACACACATAACCGTGAGTCACATCCATTTGTGAGTCGAAGTGCATTACAGTCCACACTGTCACATCTTCCCCATGGCTGAGGCTCATGACAAGGTGGTTTAGCCAGACTTCCAGAACATAAAAATCCTCTTTGTCAAATTTCTGTTTTGGTTTTCAACAGAGAATGCTCAAAGGAATTATTCCCAGGAACGGGAGTAATCTCGAAGCCCTTCTGCTTTCTATTGCATTGGCGGTATCAGCTGTCATCTTCAAATCATCATCTTCTCCATCCTTATTCATTATACTTGGACAGTTTTAACCTGGGGATGATGTTCATGGACTGCAGCTCCTGGAAGAGCAGCTTGCAGGCGTACGGAATGCGGAGAGAAGACACGTGGCACGACGACTTGCAGTAATGGCACCTGAAACCCAGGTCAGCACGTGTTAGAGGGCCAGCAGCTCAGAAACCAGGGTTCGCCCACAGGAAGTGAGCAACATTCTATTATCGCTCTATCATGCTGGCTGTTTTTCTATTCCTAAGAGTTCAGTCACACTATCACACATGTACATAGATGCCCAGAAAATAAAAAGAAGCATCTAAGCAAGCAAAGAAAAAGCAAACCAAACAGCATGCCCTCCAGTTTTAGAAGTATGAAGCCTGAATCAGTCACACCACACCTCTAGACCTTTCTCTTTAAAATGCAAAACATCTACCTTATTTGTTTTGAGAGAGCCCTAGAAATGTGATCCATTGGAAATGTACTGAGATTCAGATATCTTTTCACCTTTCTAAAAACAGAATTATTTTATTTATTATTATTTTTCAGTTTGCTATGGGACACATGTGCTCACTAGAGATAGAGAAAGAGAACATGAGAAAGCAAGTTGCCGGTTCTGGGACTCGAAATGCAGTCAGCCATGTTGGAGTCCAGCACCTCAACCACCATGCCACCTGCTGGCTCCTTTTTTCCCACTTTTGAAAGCTTTTAAAAACCTATTAAATCTCAGGTCAACCAGTGGCATGGTGGTTAAGGCAGCTGGATACCACATGACCAACAGCTCAGTTCAAGTCCTGAACCCACAGGATTGAAAAACACTGAGCATACGTGCCCAAAATCCAAAAGAGGAAATGGAAATGAGATTTCAATATGGCTATCTCTGGGGGGGAGAGTGTGCTCCTCCTCTGTCTGGTACGCTCACACACCCTATAACACAGAAAAGACAAAACAAAACAAAAGCAGGTCTAGCCAGATGGCAGTTAAGGCAGCTGGAGCACATATGGATCCCATATAGGCAATTCTACAGTTAGAATCCCAGACCCAGAGGCTCGAAAAACATGCGGGGTGTGTGAGTATCTAGACAAAATGCTCAACAATTATATTTTAGTTTTTGTTATTTTGAGGTATGTAGTCTGATTAAAAACACAAGACTTTCTTATGCTTTTTTTTTTAAAGAGATTTTCGTATAGGGTGTGTGTGCTCACTGGAGACACACAGACAGAAAATGAGAAATCACCCCCCGGGGAGATGGCCACGCTGCAATCCCTTCTCCTCCATTCTCCTCTCAGGATCTTGGTCATGCATGTATATGCACCCGGCGCTGAGTTTAAAGCTGCCAGGTCCAGGATGTGAACCATGGTCAACTACATGGAGTCTAATGATGTAACCATTACACCAGCTGCTGGTCCCTCAAATACTGTCTTATTCCAGTGCTCTTCAGGCTTAGTTATATCTGGAGGGTAGTTAGGCAATTACATGTGAAATACACAAACACATCAACACCTCTGTATTAAAGGTATGTGTACAGGAATGTTCATGGCCATTCCATTTGCCAGAGTATAAAGCAGGAGACTACACAAGTGTCCGATGGGCAAGTGGTTCTGTAGCTCCAGAAAGACACAGTGCATCCACTGAATGTGACAATGCAGATTCATGTTTATTGAAATGTGAAGATGCCCAGGACACCGAGGGAGTGACAAATCCAATGTGCTCAACGGTGTGGTTCCAAAGGGCCCTCAGATGGGTTTCAGTAAGTTTGCTCACTATGAAGCCCAAAAAATCATACGTCAAGTTTTATGAGGTATTGTGTATTTGTACTTAATAGAATTCAAGAGGGTTCATGACCCATTTTAAACCAAGAAGGTAAAGAACTTCTGATAGAGATATCCCAACGAGAGTCACCCGAGTGTTAATGGTGGTCAGGAATCAATGTGACTATCACTCTGTATTTTTTGCAACTTCTGTACATTTTACTATGAGCAGGGATCATTTTTACCATCAGCAAAACAAAGCTTTTTATTATTTTAGAAAAGAAAAGAGGGGCTAGTCCATGGCCTGATAGTTGGAGATGATGGATTCCGCATGGCCAACTGCATGGTTTGAGTACTGGACCCGGTAGCTTGAGAAACTCGCCTGGCACACGTGCATGCATACCTGCAATCCCAAGGGGAGGGAGAAGGGAAAGGATTGCTATGTGACCATTCCCCATGGCAAGTGCTGTCTCCCTTTCTCTCTCTTACTACCCCTCCCTCCCTTCCTCTCTCCCTCTCTCCCTCTCTTTCTTGGATGAGTGGACATACTCTCTGGCAAAATTAACAACAACAAAAAGGCTGGTGCCAGGCCCTATGGGGTTAAGGGAGCTGGATTCTATGTGGCCAACTGTGTAGTTCAAATTCCAGCCCCAGGGACTGGAAAAGTGTGCTGGAGCATGTGTATGCACGCCCTAAATCTCTCCAGGATGGGAAACGGAGAAGGGATTGTGGTGCGACCATGCACTTTGGGGGAATACTTTCTCTCTGTCTCTCTGGTAAGTGCACTTGCCCTCTCACAAAAAAAAAAAAAAAAAAAAAAAAATTTAGAAAAGGGAAACAAGCACTGAGGCTGAAAATCTGAATGAGTAACTATGCAGACATAGAACTCCTTGAGAAGAGAAGGGGAAAAGGGTGAGCCACTGTGGATACATGATCATGTCAGGACCGGGGGACAGCTAGGTGCTTGGCCAACACTGTGGAGTACGAGATCCACCAAAAGTACTGATACGGACTTGGTGGGCTGCTGCTGCTTAGATTACCCGAAGACATCTTTGGTGCATTATAGTTTAAAAATTATGTTTTTAATGTGCCTGGGTTGATCTAATTTATTCAGGAATCATGTCCATGCTCTAATTAAATTGGGGAAATGGATTTAACAAGACTAACTTCTTGCTGATCCTCCTGTCTAGTACACTGCCCTGTGACTTCAATCCAAGCTAATCTGTTTTAAATTTCCATATGTGCTGATTCACAGTTCAGAAAGCCCATTAACCTTCTCTAGCATCAAATCATTCTCTATCATTTGAAATGTTCCATTGTGCACATATATGTGTGTGTTGTGTGAGGGGGCTTCAAAATATTCATGGAAAATGGAATTATGTACGAGTTATCTTTGGTGCAAAAAACTTAGAAATCCATGCAGTTTCTTCATAATACACATTTCCCATGAGCTTCTGAAGACCAACATATATATCTATATGTGTGTGCGTATACCTATATACTGTATATATAAAAAAATTACCCTATGTCTGAACAATTTCCAAGGGTAGAAACTTGACCCAAAACAGTAACAGAATAAACAGACTTTTTAGGGCAAAGGCAGCAAAAGGGGGAGAGGCTGGAGCTTCACACAAAAAATGATTGTCCAGTAGAATATCCTCTATGAGCTAATTATCTTAATAGGGACTTTCTTTCCTCTGCAGTTCTCCTTCTGGACCCTTCTTTTGTGACTTACGCCCTCAGTGTCTACTGTAGAACTGTCTTGCTGTAAACATCCCCATAGCAATGCCTTACTAACGTGCAAATCACTGACAAAGGCCAGTTTCACGGTTCCGAGCTGCTCTAATTACCCAGCCTCCATTGTGCTGCTCATTACAGAGCGACTTCCTCCAACAAACGCCCAAGCTCCCTCCCACACAACCCAGCACACTGGATCAGGTAATGATGGGAAAAATGGCAGCATCATTATGCTCCTCCGCCAGAAAGCAGCGCACAAGGAGGCTGCTAGACTACCAGAATGGATTAGGATTTTTTTCTGTTGGCAACAAGGGTGTAAGTAGGCCACTCAAAATCAGACATAACGGTATTTTAAGGTCTGTTTAATTACACTAAAGACCCTCAAACCGTATAACCTGATTTAGTCCTCTTTCAAAGGATTTCAAATACAATAATGCACACCGAACACATGAGCTTCAAAATCAGGCACCAGAGATCTCTAAATGAGACAGCAAGAAAGCAGGAAAAAAATGAAACGGACAGTTTTGGGAGCTGAGTCACTACAAGTCTTTCAGCTTACATTAGTATCTCCGAGTACCCAGGGAAGAAGGAGGGAAGGTTTCCTAAAGTACAAAGTTGAATGTTTTCTTTGGAGGAGGGAGGGAGAAGGGAGAAGAACGCAGAGAAGAGGAGAAGGAAACTATGAAATTTCATGACCCCTAGTTTTAATGAATGACTCTTGTATATCATCTTTTCAAAGTAAATTCTGAAAAATCCTCATGCTAAATTTGAAGATTTAAAGTATAGTGAACTAGTTTCCAGGAATCTTACTATTATACTATTTCTTTTCTTTTTCACACAGCCCAGACTATAAAAAGCATGCTCAATATGTATTTCAAAATACAGACATCTCAGGGGACCAGCAGTTAGTGTAATGACTATGTTGCTGGACTCCCACATAGTCGACAGCGGTTCGTGTCTGGACCTGGTGGCTTAAAACTCACGCCAGGCACGTGTGCGTGTGTGCCCAAGATCCTGAGAGGAGAATGGAGAAGGGATTGTGATGTGGCCATCCCCCCTGGGGGGTGATTTCTCGCTTTCTGTCTCTCTGTCTCTGTCTGTCTGGTGAGCACATGCGCCCTATAGCAAAAAACCTCT